ATATTCAAACATACCTAATTTTGAAATATGCATGACTAATTCCACCACAGCCCATTCACTACAAAAGAACATGATCTTACACCTAAAGCAACACAATCTATGACGAAATTCAAATTGAAGAATACTGCAAACAATTGGATTTCAAACCATCGGTCGCAAAGATTCTAACAAAAGCTCATCTATACGGACAAAAACGATTTCTCAGCTGGAAGCTCATTGCTTCACCTGCCATTACAAATACTAATTGATTCCAACAACTAACGCAACAGCAATATATACGAAATTAAGCATGCCAGCTTCATACAAACACAACAAATCTCCATAAACCAATCACACATTCATCTATTCTACTATCCCAATTACTAAATCAACCAGATCTAAGCCATAAAACAAAACAACCCACAATACATTAACCCTAATTCAACGCAAAAACACCAATAAAATCACAACATTAACATCAAATCAAAACAAATACAATCCCAAATCTGCAAACAAAAATTACCCCCAAAATTCCAAAACCACGCAAAATTGAACAAATTACAGCAAAATTAAGCCATAATTAAGCAAACAAAAGCAATAAGAAACTCAACTGGTTAAACGATGACGAGGGTTTTGAAGAGCTTCAACGAGAAAAGGGTCGACCAATGAAACATAATTGTTGACCAACGCCGCCTCCTTTTCCTTCTCAATCAAATCAATTGACGAAACTTGAGTAGAATCCATTACAACAACCCACAAAAATCAAACAAACCCAGAAAATCCCACAACACAATTACCCTAAAATCACCCCCAAATTAAAAAAAAAATCCTAAAAAAACGATCTCAATTTTCTCTCTCCAAAATTGCGGACGCTTCTGCTTATGCTACACCCGATTCCTCTTCAATTCTTCTTCTGGGTAATTGCCTAAATTGAAAGTCGAGGGTTTAAGAAGAAGAAGAAACTGTGTTGTTTGTTGATGTTGGTTGTTCAAAAGCATCCACGATGAAGAGGAGAGAGAAAATGAAGAGATGGAGAGAAAAAGAGGCAAACTCTCTTTGGTTTATCTCCCACCCAAAAAAGGGGTATGAATTTATGAGATTAACTCCATTTATATGTCCCCTAATTTTTAATTTTTTTTATTGTAATGTTAAATCTTTCTTACTTTAATTAATTTTTCCCACTATTTTTTTCTTCTTTTTGTCTCCCTAATGTTTTCTTTCCTCAATTACTACCCCTTTTATAATAGGGTTGGATTGTGGGTGGGGGCATGAGCCAGAGTTTTATTCAATATATAATTCGCTTTTGTTTGAGTTTTTTAGATCTTCTTAGAAAGAAACATCGTATATCGTTAAATATCTTCTTCTATTATAAAGAAGTATGTCATAATATCAAGTTATTGCTTCAAATATAAAGCATAATAATTCAAAGTAGAAAGATTAATTGAAGATATTTTAATGCTACATGAGTTTTTTCTCGGTGTTTCGTAATTATTTATTGATCGTGTAAATTTGTAGTCGATTGATGGATTTAGCGTTGAAAATTTAGCTTTCTGGTTTCTATTCTCTTCAAATACGCAGTAGCATAGAAAGTATAGCCATTTTCACACTTCAACTTGCATGAATTATCATATTGCTACACTGCACCATTTAGATTCTTGGCTTTGTGTGACATATACTATGTATTTGTTATTATCTTACCATGTTATTGCATCATTATATGAGTTTTAGAGTTTGGTTGTATCTTGTCAAGGGAATTGATTCACTTATTAGGGTATGACAAGGGTTTTGTAAGAAAAGTGTTGGCATACTCATTCTACGTAGTACTCATAGTTGATAATCAAATTAAAGGCTTAAAGGCGTTAAAGTTATCAAACTCATATACCCAACTGCTATGAGACTTGTATCTAGTATTTTATTATTACTGCTAAAAATCAATTTTTGCAAGCCTTGATTACCATGTCAAAATTTTAGACAATTTGTCCCCAAAAAAAAAAAAAACAAGTACTTATTTTTCATTTTTCTTAAGCCGAAAAATGTGTTTTAAAGCTGTTTTTGCAACTTATTACGAAGTATACTGTAATGGGCTTAAGAACAATGTTCTTTGTGGCCAACTAAATTATATGGGCCTACGAGCCTAAATGGATGTGCTCATTACGAAGCCGCTGACTCGCTAAATTTTAACTATAGGTTGACTTTCCATTTTCCAATAAGTTGCAAACTTGTTTGGTAAAGAGGTTTGATAATAAGTTTGTCACAAAATAGAAGCCCAAATTTACAATTGGTACCTAATTACTACGAAGTGTAAGGCCATGTTTAGTTCACCTTATTTTTGTTTATCTGAACTTATTTGATTTGGTCTAATCTAATATGATTTTATTGTTTGATTTGACCAAACTTTGGCCTTAAGTGTACGATAATCTGTAAGGAAAAAAATATATCAAGTGGGAACTTGTTAGATTCATAATAATGTGTATTTTATTAATATATAATTTTCATAATTTTTTTTCATTACGAAACTAAAGATATTTAGCGATAAAAAATTGCACATAAAACGATGATCTGATCTGAACTTATTTTTTCTGATCTGATCTGGTCTAAACTTATTTTTTCTGATCTGAACTTATTTTTCCTAAAATTAGTAAAAATAAGTTGAACTAAATAAGGCCTAATTGTGACGAATTTAACAAAATCTCACATACGAAATATATGAGTCTATTTTCTGTTTAGGTACCAAAATAATTACCATTTTTGCGAGCCTTGAAAATTATTGGGCCTCCCAGTCCAAACCACTCTTCTAAGTCTTAAACAAGCTAAGATTTACTAGTCCTTGGCCAGCCCAAAAGCCACTTTAGGGCCTACTTTGCTAACTGCCCCAGGAGTATATGTGTGGCCCAGAATGCACATTCAAGGTGTCTAATACTGTATCTACTACTACCGTACTACGTAGTATTTATAACACTTGCTCTATGCTTTATAAGCTCTCAACACTTTCCCAACTGTATCATGATCAAGCTAAATTAAGCATCAAATGGGTTTCCTCGAACACACCCTCTAAGTGAGCTCACATGCTTACCTGTGTAAGTGCTCATCCTAGTGAACTTGGATTCACATAAGTCAATAACCCATATTAAAAGTGAACCTCATACAAGGTGATAGCTTTCAAACTAAAACACTATTTATCAGAGAATATTCTAGATTTGTGATCAAAGTTTATGAACTTTCACCTTTAAAAAAAAAAAAAAGTACAATGGACAATGTTTGGACCCGGGCGATGTCTCGGATTATTACATGAAACTGATCATTAATATACGTTGTAATTTAAGATTCAATTTTCTTGTAATTAAATTTGTTGTTCATATTGTCATTTGCTAGTGATTAATATTTTGTATTCAAAAGGTTGTATAAAAAAATCACATAGCTTGGTGGTAAGACACTTAGTTGTAGAACTAAAGGCTGTGAGTTCAAATCTCGTGGAGAACTTAAGTGCAGTGCATGACATATAATGAAAACAAATGGAAGGGGAGCCACGTGGCGTTATGAGTAGTTAAGTGGGTGACGTAGCATAGTGAGGGAAGTTTACGTGATACGTAGACGTTGTTAGAAACGACTTTTAATATATTAGTATAGATTATGTATGATAGAATTATATTGATATAATGTTTTAAATAGCGTCAATTATAATTAAAAGAGGTTATAAGTTTTAATAATAAGCATTAACATTACTATATATTAGGCTAATACCTCTTACAAACATGAAAATCGTAAACTCGATTTTCTTTAAAAAAATCTCAAAACTTCCATTATAATTCAAAGAGTAGCCCCTCTATCACACTTCATATGATGCACATGCAAATAGAAGTGATTAATTAGCCTACACTTCTTGAACCAATATACACTATAATTATCCATCTACACACATTATAATAAGGTGTGACAAAATAATGGAATCTAAATCTAAACCAAAAGGTATAAAAACATTTAAAGCATCAACGATGTACTAAAAAATGAAGGAAACAAATATAGTTAATAATATCACATCACATTATGACATTATGTGGCGTAACGTAACAGAAATCTTACATACTCAAAATCTCAATAATTAATTTTTTTTTTTTTTTTGAAAGAATATTTTTATTTAACTGTTTTTATTTACTACGTATTTTTCTTAATATGAGAGGGAAGTTTCGAGAGACACGCGGCGTCAAGAGTAGACCCAGCCTAATCCTTAATTTTCCACGCTCAAAAGCCAATTTGTACGGAAATTATTAATTTATGATGTCATAAATCAAGGATAACCCACTCTCATGGTTTTCGTGACATTCACGCGCGGTCCCCTTGTGGTCAATTTTCATTCTCATTTTCCACGTTGTTTCTTGTTCACCTTCTTTTTAGACCAATTTTCTTCCATTCAAATTAATTTTCTTTGGATATTTGAAATTGGAATTATTATGAAGTCATTTTTTTCTCGGTGAAAACACGTTATTATTCTTTCATTTCAAAATTTTCAATATTACATTTGTGGTGTTTCAATTTTTATTGGAGATTTTGTTAGAATATGCAAAAAAATTGAATACTTATATATCGTATGATCATTTATTAACTAGATGTCAGTTGTTCCTTATGTTTCATATCAGGTCCTTATTTTATGCTAATTATGTAATTTTTGGGTCTATTAGCCCTAACTTAATTTCTATGTGTGATACTTGATGGTTTGTAAATCGATAACTATCGGAGGTACTACCACTAACTCTGTTGATGCCTGGGGTTTTCTAATGAATAGCTGGGTTGATAGCCTTTTAACCAAAAAAAAACAAAAAAAATACAAAAGTTAGAGAGGAAAAAGTGAATGAAATACATAAAAAAAGATGAAAAATATAATTATAGACAAAAGTTAGAGAGAGAAAGTAGAAAAAATTACAAGATAAGTGAAAAATTTAAGGATAATTTAAGAAGTACAATGAATAAAGTTTTTTAAAAAAAGGTATAATGGTCTTTAGCAACTATCTAAATATAAAAATAGGAACAACATTTTAGATGTCAAAAATAAGAAAACAGAAAATGGGACGGAGGGAGTATAAACCAACACCGAAGTAAAGCGCGTGAAAATTAGACTAAAAACAACCACCCACTTGTCTTATCTCTCCTAAATCCTCCAAAAACCCCTCTTTTTTTATTCATTCAACCCAAACCCAGAAAACCTTTTCTATTTCCTTCTTTCTAGTATCTTCCTTCTCTTTCTCTCTCCTTCTCAACAACCTTCTTCAATCTTCATCAATGGAAGATCCACTCCCTTACGATCCCCACCCTTCTACCCCTCTTCCCATCCCTCCTCTCGACCACGCTCATCTTCTCTCCTCCGATTTCTTCCCAGAAAACGGCGATGATTTCAACTTTGGTGCTGGCTTCGATTTCACTTTTGATGATCTTACATTCGCGGATGATCTACTTTTGGACCCGCAAGGAGATGGGGTTTTTGATTCGGATGTTTCTGATGTTTTAGAGGGTCGGAATTCTGGGGATTCGGAGATTCTTGTTGGGAACCCTAATTCTAGGGTTTACGATTGTTCGTCTCCGGAAGGGGTGAATCATCATGGTGGGGTTTCTTCTGAGGAGTCGAATTTTGGGGTGAAGTTGAATTGTGCTTCGCCGGAGTCTGGTAGCTGTAAGAGTAATTCCGGCGTTTCGCAGACGTTTCGTGGTGGTGATTCAGGTAATATTAGTGATGACCGTGATGTTTCTTCCAGTTCTTTTAATGAGAATAATGTTGATGATTTGTCTAGTAAGGTTAAAGTAGAGGAAATTGGTGGGAAGAATAATAATCATAATAATAATGTTAGTAAAAGTGTTGTCTCGAAGAGGAAGAAAGAGTATGATCATGATCAAAGTGAAGAGGGTAATAAAACTAATAAGTTTAGGAAATCGGGGATGTCGGAAAATGTGAGTGTTGAAGTGGGTAGTGTTGATGGGGATGATAAGAAGAAAGCTAGATTAATGAGGAATAGAGAAAGTGCGCAGCTTTCTAGGCAGAGGAAGAAACAGTATGTAGAGGAGCTTAAGGATAAGGTTAGATCAATGCATTCTACGATCACTGATTTGAATGGAAAGATTTCGTATATGATGGCGGAGAATGCGAGTTTGAGACAGCAATTGGCCGGTGCTGGTGGGGTTTGTGCGGCCCCTCCACCGCCTCATGGGATGTATCCGATGGCTCCTATGCCATACCCATGGATGGCGTGTCCTCCTTATATGGTTAAGCCGCAAGGATCACATGTTCCATTGGTTCCGATTCCTAGATTGAAGCCTCAGCAGCCTGCGCCGGCTCCTAAGGTTAGTAGGAGGTCGGATAGTAAGAAGGGTGAGGGGAAGACTAAGAAGGTGGCGAGTGTTAGTTTGTTGGGGTTGTTGTTTTGTATGTTGCTCTTCGGAGGGTTGGTTCCGTTGGTTAATGTTAAGTATGGCGGTATTGGGTTTGATGGTGTGCAGAAGGGAAGTGTATTTATGGTTGATAAGCATGTCGGGGTTTTGGAGGGTAAGATTAGTAGTCATGGGAGAATACTTCAGCAGTCGAATAGTTCAGATGGGTTTGGTCCAAATGGGAATTCTAGTGAGCCATTGGTTGCGTCGCTGTATGTCCCAAGGAATGATAAGCTGGTGAAGATTGATGGGAACTTGATTATTCATTCGGTTCTTGCCAGTGAGAAGGCTATGGCATCGAAAACGGATGAGGAGAGTAAGCCTAGTGAAGAAACAAGCTTGGCTATCCATGGTAGTTACCCGCCTTATCCAATCCCTGGACCAGGGAGCAATAATTGGAGACACCCTCACCTTGACAGAAATCAAAATGGGAGGCAAAGGGCTCTCGGCTCTAGCTCTTCTGAAGGGTTTACACCAGCTGGATCTGATGGCAAACTGCAGCAGTGGTTCCGTGAGGGACTTGCAGGTAATGATATCGAACTTTGTGTTGTTTTGACTGTTTTGTTATTTTAGTTTGGTGTGTTCATCTACTCTTTTATATTTTCTTTTTTCCTGTGTGTTATGATGCCAATCTGGAAAGTGATTTAGATTTATTTTCCCGTTCTCGAGTCTGAAGTTGACTTCTCTATGGGCTGTCCAAGTTAAATAATTAGTTTAGGTGATTGGTAATTCTGATTTTCTGAAATTCATGAGCACAACTTCTAGAAAACCGAACAACTTTCTTCTATCATGTGTATTATCATACAATAAAATTTCTGCTTAACTTAATTTTTGTTCTAGCCACTGCAAGATTTTCTTTTTGAGAAATGGGTCCATAATCATTGGGTTCGATGTACAAGATCTTGAGCACTTATCAAGGAGCCCTGAAGTACACAGAAGAAAATTTTGCCACTAATTATGTAATATAATATTTTCTGTGCATGCCTGTAATATATGTGAAAGCTGCATGATGAATAATGTGAGGGTATTGCCTTTGCTGATTATCTTTTAAAGTTTCAAGCTTTGGTTTGGTAGCAGTCTCTACCAGTTGCTGCAATGGCCATTTTGTGACCTGTGTCAGCTCTGATGGAGGGTGTACGCTTGAGTTTGCTTTTCTTTGTATCCGAGGATGGAAGCAAAGCCTCATTTAATCTACTGCTAAGCAGCAAAGCTTCTTCTTTGTTTTGCTTGGTGCTAGGCTGTGAAAACGATGGTATTGGATGCATAAACTGTTTAGCAGACCAGAAAAGCTGGTGGGTTTGTGTGCTTTAAAAATCAGGGCAGACTAGGTTGTTAGTGAAAAACATTATTGCATCGTTTTGTCGTCAAGTAGCCTGTGCATGTTACCTTTTCTCAAGTCTTTACTAGTTTTTGTATGTGTGGTATGATATCGCTAACTGTCTGCAGCCACATTTTACTCTTGTGCAGGGCCTATGCTGAGTTCTGGCATGTGTACGGAAGTGTTCCAATTTGATATCTCACCCACTCCAGGATCAGTAGTTCCTGCTACATCCATTGTTAATGTTACCTCTGAACGCCAACAGAATTCTACTCGCTCTAACAAACCCAGGAATAGAAGGATCCTTCATGAACCTGTTGTTCCTCTCGATGGCCATACACTGAATGCTACTGAAGAGCATGTGGCACATGAGCAAAATGATGGACTTCAGGGCAACAGAACCAGTTCTTCAATGGTCGTCTCTGTTCTTGTCGATCCCAGGGAAGTTGGTGATGGTGATGGAGAAGGCGTGATTAGATCAAAGACTATGTCTCGGATCTTTGTCGTCGTTCTTATTGACAGTGTCAAGTACGTGACTTACTCATGCATGCTCCCATTTTTGGGTTCAAGCAATCATTTAGTGACAACCTGAAATGTGGGATAGAATAAGATGAGTGATGGATATAAAGTATTCATCTCCACCACAGTTTTGTACAGGATCGATAGTTATGTAGAGCTTTTAAATTTTCTAGTGACACCTTTAATCAGCCGGTCTTTCCATTGCTAAGAAACCTTTGTAAACTAGGTTCTTATCTTCATGTTGAGATCTTGGTGTGCTAACAGGCATCAATCGGCCTACCTTGAGGATGCGTTCAGGAACGTTGACTGCTTGTAACTTATGTAATCTGATATACTTAAATGCAATATTTACCTTTTAATCTGTATTCGCACATTTGCTTCTTTTCACTATGTTACTAATACAATGTATACTTGTATCATATTCGTGTTTCTAGTAGTTTAATATCTTGATCAGAAACTAGTTTCATCTACGTTTTATACAACTTTCATCTTTAGAGGCACAAATGCATCTGATATTCTTAACTGCACAACAAGAATCTGATCTGTTATATCATTGTATTACAGTTCAAACAATATAATTTATAGTGAAAGAAGCATTACATGATTCCAGCATAAAACTATACTTGAAAAGAGTCTACTATAGTTTGCAGAGTTTTCTGGGAGGTCTGCCACTGTTTATCATTTGCACTGGCAACGAATAAAACGACTGTGTTTCCCTTTGCTGTTGCTTTGGCGAGATTGTGTGTTCCTGTCAGAGCATATGGCGTCTCCAATACATATTTGTAGTACTGCAAGCACCAGAAACACAAAGGGCCTAGTTATTCTACCACCAACTTATAATCGACACTGGAATAAGCTAAACTAACATTGGTAACTGTAATTGAAACCATGAGGCTTTGTTCTTTTCACCTTTAAAGAAGGCAAGAATCCAAGATCAATGCACAACTAAATCTCCTAAAGTAAGCAAATGATTAAGATGAGTACAAGAGATCATACCGTCTGATCACCAACTTTCTCAACAGAAGTCTCAATCAGCTCATCCGGGTCTAAGGTGTTCCCGGTAACAAAAGGTCCAAGGGAAGCGATTAGTTTATCAGGGCTGCCAATTTCTTCGATTGTTGCATTAGGTTTGTTGGTTAAACGAATGAGAGGGGAAGCTACAACTTGTATCTTCCCTTGTTTCTCATCTTCAAACTTAACCTCAATCCATGGTTCTGCACACTTTGGCTGGCAGTAATTCCCAGACAGTATGTTGGCTATTCGCAACTGCTTCCATGTCGGTGGCAATACAAATTGGTAAGGCGCTACGTTCCCTGCAAAACCATCACTATAACCTTTGCTTTCAATGCTACAACTCAACCTACAGTCTGCATCACATTACATTACATCCTTTCTTTTTCTAGCAATGTACCAATGCTAAACAAAATAAAATACTCTGAAAGCATATAGAGCGCCACATAGAAAAATAACACATTCCGAAAACAATATATTCAAGCTTCAAAATACACAGAAAATAGTTTAAATAAAAAGTAGAGATAACAGACTGATCAGACCTGCACGGAGGGCAGGGGTGTCCTTAGAAGTGGCTTTGAAGAGAACAAAGGAAGGGTCAGACGGCGAAGGCGGCAAAAATGATCCTACATCTACATCTCTAGCTTGTGAAGGAGGAGGGGATTTTAGTACAAAATGAAGGAGAGAAAAAGAGACACCCTTTAACAACAAATCTCTTCTTATTAGTGATTTTCCTTGTTCTTGTTTTTGGGTATGTAATTGTAACATTGATGGGTTTGTGGGAGGTTTAAAGGAGTTTGATGATGATGAAGATGAAGTGAGGGGTAGTTTGGGTAGTGAAGAAGTAGCCATGTTTGTGAAAGAGAATGAGGAGAGAGAAAATGAAAGTTATGGATGTATGTATGGATGAGGTCTGAATTTCAGTCGGGATTTGGTTGGTTCAGAGATTGTTTTAGAAAGGAAAGTTTTGTTAAAAGATGTGGTATCTCGTAAAACCAACTGGCCTTAACAGAATGTGGTTAAAGCTTCCCCTTTCCAACTATGGATTTGCTTGAATTAAATTTGACTCTCTTGCAAATAAAAAAAAAAAAAAAAAAAAAAAAAAAAAAAAGACTCAACTTATATCGTTAAATCTAAAATGAGCGGATGAGCCTGATCAATATCGGTTGATTTATAACTATAAAATTATAAATTAATATATTTGATAGTGTGTGATTAGACTTGAATTTAATTAGACTTAAATTGAAGCTATGTACAAATGACTAATCAACCTATTTCTTGTTTAGATGTTAGATTATGGGCTTTAGTTACAACAGTTCTAGCTAGGCACAAAACAAGAGTAGAAACAGTAAGAAGTAAAAAAGATTATCACAAAGACATAAGATCAACAGAAATAAGGTTGTAGTTTAAAGATAAAACTTTCATATATATGACTCATGTGAAAGATGAAGGGAGCTATATTTACTTTAGGGGTCTGACTGTTGGCTATTAGCATTAAAGTGATTAAACAATTAGATTATTTTGTTGTATTAAATGGCTAAAGATGGATAAATTTGTTCCTTACCAAACAAATATGAAAATTTTGTTTATTGAAAATGCTAATTTTGTTTTAAGATAAATATGTTTATTGAAAATGAATATTTTGTTGTAGTGCTAAATAGCATTAAAGTGAAAGATGAAGTGAGCTATAATATGATCATGATATTATTAAAGATAAATATGTATTGAAAATGAATATTTTGTTGTAGTGCTACTCTATAGTTAAATAAAATTTGAGGTGATTAAACATGGTTAATCCCAGCAACAAAATTATAGGGCTAATTATCCTAAAGACATTAGGTTAAATTTACGAATAGATCGATACAAGTACCAATAAGTTCATTAAAGAAAACCTTCATACTTTGTCTTTCATATTTAAAGTGAAACTACTCCATAAATATTACTTCGTACGTAATATAATTTACAACATAAAAATTTAATTACAGCAAAAAGGTCATAGATTACTATTTCTAAATTTAATTTTACAACTACGGAGTAATCTTTAATTTGAAAATAATAACAATAATAATAAACTTTAATCCCAAAAAAAGGGGGAAAAATAATGGAAGGGAAAAAATAATAACAATATTCACTACTTTTAGCACATTCTCAATTTCTCACAAAACACCTTTTTGCACTTCCACTGCTCAACTCTCCCTCTCTCTCTCCGCCCTCTGCTCAGCCTTTCCGTCACCGTCGTCCGCCGTGCGCCGTCTATCCCAAGCAGCACGGCCGTGATCTTGCCGTTGAGGTATTTTTCCTTTCAATTATTTTCTTATTTTTCCGTTCAATTCTTTTATTTTTTGTATTTTTCTCATTTAATTCATTGAAGGTGTTCTGGGTTATTTATAATATGAATCATATCGCTAATCTAGGTTATTTTAACCTGTCGCTAATTTAGGTTTCAAAATTGAAGGGAAATTTTCATCTGATCAATGTAAATGTAGAACATATATGGGAATTTTCTGAGGAAGAAGAAAGAAGTATATGGTGTGTCAGATTACTTCAATTTATACGAATTAATTATCTTAATACTTGTATATAATTGTACATTCTAAGCAATTAAGGAGTTGTATTATATTTAATTTGGTTTAATCTGACCACCATTCAATTTTCCCAGAATTTCTTGATTGTTTGGAACGTGCATTGATTAAAAAATAAGAAAAATTAGTGGAAAAATTGTATGATGTGCTGAATTGATTTTGTAAAAATGGTATATTTGATGTTGTAAGCCTGACTGAATTGATTTTATTGGTTTGTAAGGAGCTACAATGTGCTGAATGTAGACGGGATTTGATCCCGGGTCTTGGGTAGTTGGGTACGACCCCCAAGTCTTTAGCAAGCTAAGCTAATTGGCATCTTCCAAGCATGCATGACTGATTTGTGTACGTTATTGTAATTCTGATTCTTTTAAGTTTGGATGTGTCCTTTTGCTTTCCAATTTATAAGATTCTTCTGGGATTTTTCTATGAAAAAAATTAATTGAATTGAGGAATGTTTTTTTTCTTGAGATATTATCATTTATGTATTGCATGCTGTCTACTTCATGTTATTTTGCCCTCAGGAAAAAATGAATACAGTACTACCTCATTTTAGTAATACTATCAATGTCTTGATATTCTCCATCATGGATTGAATGGATTATTCTTAATCTTATCTGGGGTAAACTTTGAGATGCGTCGAAATATAGAATTGATTGATTAGGATTTAGGTCCCCTGCTAAAATTGTGTGAATTCATACCCCTACATTTCTAATGATTCCCTCGCTTTAATGATGAATAGGTTCCATGCTGTAAAACCATGAATGCAAAAACGAAAAAGAGAACTGTAGTTGAAAATGGTGACACTGGGACTGGTGAGGACTTGGTCCTTGCTACATTGATAGGGAATGGGGAGGATTTGAGTCCTCTTGTTCGGCATGCCTTTGAAACAGGCCGTCCCGAGCCACTTCTTCAGCAGCTAAGGCACGTGTCAAAGAAGAAGGAAGCAGAGATAGAGGAGTTATGTAGGCTTCACTATGAGGAATTCATTATTGCTGTTGATGAGCTTCGTGGTGTGCTAGTTGATGCAGAGGAGCTGAAATCTGAACTCCAAACTGATAATTTTAAATTGCAAGAGGTTGGGACTTCTCTGTTGTCTAAACTTGACGAGCTTCTAGAATCGTATTCGATAAAGAAGAATATAAGTGAAGCTATTAAGATGTCCAAAATGTGCTTTCAATTGCTGAAGCTTTGTTCAAAGTGTAATGCCCATGTGTCTGAGGGGAAATTTTATCCTGCGTTGAAGACTATTGAGCTGATTGAGAAGGATTACTTGAAGAATATTCCTGTCAGAAAGCTGAGAGTGGTAGTGGAACATAAAATTCCAGCCATAAAGTCGCATATTGAGAAAAAAGTCTGCAGTGAAGTTAATGAATGGCTAGTTCATATCAGGAGCCTGGCCAAGGATATTGGACAGACAGCAATAGCACATACTTCATCAGTGCGTCAGAAGGATGAAGAAACAAAGGCTCGTCAGAGAGAAATTGAAGAAAACAATCGTTCACAACTACCAGAGGTTGCATACAGTTTAGATGTTGAAGAGGTAGATGAGGATCTGAGTTTGAAAATTGATCTTACTCCTATTTACAGGGCATATCACATTCATAAATGCCTAGCGATTGGGGAACGGTTTCGGGAATACTACTATAATAACCGGCTGGCGCAACTCAATTCAGACTTGCAGATATTCTCATCTCAGCCATTTCTTGAATCTCATCAAACCTTTTTGGGCCAGGTAGCTGGCTATTTTATTGTGGAAGATCGTGTTCTCAGGACGGCTGGAGGTTTATTGGAAGAAAGTCAGGTTGAGACAATGTGGGAAACTGCTGTTTCTAAGATCACTTCTGTGGTTGGGGGCCAGTTTTCCAGGATGAATAATACAGCACATTTCCTTCTTATCAAAGATTATATGACCCTTTTTGGAACAACATTGAGACATCATGGGTATGAAGTAACTTCTCTTCTTGAGACTATTAATGGCACTAAAGATAAGTATAGCAAGCTTCTTATGGAAGAGTGTCGCAGGCAGATTTCTGAAATAGTTGCTAATGATAGCTTTGATCAAATGTTGTTGAAAAAAGAATCTGACTACCAGGCAAATGTACTCTCTTTTCAACTGCAGACATCAGACATCATGCCTGCCTTTCCTTATGTTGCACCATTCTCCTCCATGGTACCAGAAGCTTGCCGTGTTGTCAGATCATTTATAAAGGACTTTGTAGATTACTTATCTTCTGGTGGGGATGTAAATCTTTTTGATGGTGTGAAGAAGTGCCTGGATACGCTATTGATTGATGTGCTTAATGAAGTCATAGTTGATAAAATTAATGACACCTCCATTGGTGTATCAAAAGCCATGCAGATTGCTGCAAATGTGTCTTTCCTCGAAAAAGCTTGTGATTTTTTCGTGAAAATTGCATCAAATCTTTGTGGAGTCCCCACACGGTCAATAGACCATCCTCAAGCTACTTTAACAGCTAAGGTGGTCCTTAAAACATCAAGAGATGCAGCGTATATTGCTCTGCTGAGTCTGGTTAACATTCAGCTGGATGAGTTTATGTCACTCCCTGAAAATATCAATTGGATACCAGATGATGTACCTGAAAATGGACATGAATACATGAATGAGGTGATTATTTATCTTGACACTCTTCTGTCAACTGCCCAGCAAATTCTACCAATGGATGCTTTATACAAGGTTGGCAGTGGCGCTCTTGAGCATATATCCAATACTATTACAGGAGCATTTCTTAGTGATAGTGTCAAAAGATTCAATGCTAATGCAGTTGAGGCCATTAACAATGATCTGGAGATATTAGAGAACTTTGCTGATCAGCGGGTTGAGAGCACTGGTTTGAGTGAAGATTACAAGGATGGTAATTTTAGATATTACCTGATAGAAGCTCGTCAATTAATAAACCTTCTAAGGAGTAATACAGCGGAAAACTTCATGAACCCTGTCATCAGGCAGAAGAATTACCATACTTTGGAAATTAAGAAGATTGCAGTTATCTGTGACAAGTTCAAGGATTCTGCGGATAGTCTGTTTGGAAGTCTTTCAAATCGAAATGCAAAAACTAGCGCCCGGAAGAAATCTATGGATATTTTGAAAAGAAGATTGCGGGACTTCAGTTAGACAGCTGGCAGCCTCTTATTATATGAAGCAGAAAGAAGTTGTGATTTTTCTTTGGTAACACAACTAGATTTTTCTCTTTTGTAGCTCACTTATATAGGTACCCTTTTTACCTGTGGTATTATTTCTCTATGTTCTCTTCAATTTTGTTTCTCTTAACATTTCAATTGACTGAATTTTCTTTATATTGGTGTTGAAAGATTTTAGAGGATCATTGTATTCCTATTTCCTATTATTAATATACGATAACGATGATCCATTAGAGTGCAGAGCCAAGTGCTTTTTTTGGCAACAATGATGAAGGGACAAAAAAAAAAAAGAATGAAAGAAAGAAAAAAAAAAAAAGTTAGAAAGAAGTAAAAAAAAGGAATTATATGGAAAGCATATTGTGCCTTTTGTTGAGTTTGAAGAGCACACCACTAGGTGTTTTTTTTCTTTATCTGGATTACATATCATGGAAATTTTGGTTGTCTGTACCTGTTCATTAAGCATGAGAAACATATTTGATCACATGTCAAGCTTTCACTTTTACCGTTTTAGTAAAACATCAAAACTTATAGTCTTGTTGTAAGTTTCCGGATTTTTCAATGATCTGTGCAACTCATATTGGCTTTGGTTTTTTTATAATATGTTTTTTTGACTTCTGGTATGACTCAAAGGATAACTTCCATAAAAAATGAAAATCTATTTGAAATTTGTTTGTTGCTAATGCTAACCGAAGATTTGTTTAATGACTTTGACCTCTGGTTCTGGTAATGTTATGTTGTGTTTGCTGAGTTGTTAAGTATCTATGAGAAAATTATCGAGTTCATCAGTTCCTGCATGTGGCAGGACTTGCATGAATATTTCTGAACCTGAGATTGGGCCTGCTTCTCAGTTTTAAAGATTGCCCTTTGTAGTGGGAGCTCTTTTTTTTAGAAACTACATTGCACTTGGCCCTTTTAAATCACTACTTACTGTTAGTCTTGTAATTTTAAAAAATATTTTCTTGAGATTGTTGATCAACCGAATGGTGTTTTAGTTTGAAAAGATGACCCTCAGGTTTCTGAAGAATCTGAACTCGTTCTTTAGCTCATAACTGGCTGAAACTTTGCTTGGCATGGGAATATCATGTTAATAATATCATTTGGAGAAGCTCCTTATTTGTGAACTTTGCTATTGATCAACTCTTGTCTTAGTGCAATTTGTTGTAAAGTTTTCCTTATACGGAGCTTGCTAGACATTTTTCATGCTACATGAAATTCATAAAATTAATGAGGTGCTCATGGTGTGGGATTGGTTCTTTTTGATTGCCTGAATTCATCCTTTCAAGATGAAGAGTTTATGAAGTGACAAAGGCAATGTCTCACAAGGCTTACATCAAAGTTCTTGAAAGGATTTTTGTGTTGCATAATTTTGTTCAGGTGCTTCCTGCTGGATAATCATATCATCTCACTACGCTACCAGTTTTCCAGGGCTACTGAGATTATTCTTACCATTCTCTACTCTTCAGTGTCTCACTTTTTTAGGGTCCTAAGAGGTGAATCATTTTATGTTTTGCCTGGAGATCCATTTAGTGGCTGGTAAGAGGATTATGTGATAAACTTGATTTTATTTTGTTTTGGCTTGAGACTTTCAGATTATTACAAACAGTGTTGGAGCCAACTTACTGGAGATTATTGGACCTGTGTCAACCTATTTCAGCTACACTTAACCAAAGGTGAGGTATATGTGATTCATCTGATCTATATTCAAATTTTAGCTTTGCAACTTTTTTTAACTGAATGTTCAAGTTTATCCTACAAAAATTTCTGTAGAAGTTACAATGGTGTTATGTCGTTATGACATCATTTTTGGAAATTTTCATATGTAGCGTACTGCGTACAGTTTAAGTTGTCATATTCTGACCGTCTGAAAATGCAGTGACAATAGAGTAGCAGACAATTACACCTTTCCAAACTCATTCTAAAGTAGTCTGAGTTTAATCACATACCAAATATTCTCTAATCTTGTTATTTATCTCCAGCCTACCCTCTTTCTTAAGGCCCAATACTTCCACCTAACTGGAAATTTTGTGACAAAGTTTTTCAATATGCTTCTCTTAGCAGCATTGCTGTGTCACAATCCTTTCTGTTGATGGAGAGGAAGGTTCTCATTAGTCTTTGCTTCTTTTAGCCTTTTAAGGACATGTGAATTGCATTGCACTGGATTACCATGTTTTGGCAATCTAGCATGTAATACACATACGCCGTCTTTATATCATCGAATTTGCCTTTAAATTATGATGTACTTTGAACTGTCCAGGAGGCCCATATATAGATATGATTGATGGCTAGTCTTCGATGCTTTACAGTTCCATATTCTATTTTCTTCCCTCTCTACCTACCCATCATAGTGATTTATGTACACTTAATCCTCTTACTAATACCATTTTCTTATTAAGAATTTTGGTCTCATACATCCAGTTATCAGAATTTGCTAGTATATAAAAGCAACATCATTCCCATATAGAAATTTATCTCGGATTCAGTCCTCGTGTATAGATATCTGTCCTGGTAAAGTTTTGAAAGAGGTTCATGTCTAGGTTCATTCCCATATAGAAGGATTAGAAGCAAGATGGTTTGCAGATGACTTGTTTGCAGTCTGCACTTCCTATGAGACCAATTAATAGAAATAAATAATTCCCATTCTCCTTGGTGCTTTTTTGTTAAGAAAAAAGGATTATATTAACAACTGAAAAAACAGGAGCATATAGAAGTATATGCTAGTTTGCTAGTCTCAGAATTGTAATTCATTCTGCCTTGATATGGAAACTTGGATATGTCAGGAATGTCTGTGCCTTTTATTTTAAGTTAGAACAAGATTACTGTCATACCCATGGTTGTGATAATGTTTATACAGAACTGACTTATCATGGTCCTTAGATAAAGGTATTGTAGCATTATAATTACTTCCAGTAGTGTCTTTTTTATCAGTTAAGAATAAGAAGTCTGACAAAGATACAGTGACAGTGGATTATATAGTGGCTGTTGCTGTTATATGCATCTATCAGCTATCGTCGCCTGTTTGTTTTACTACCTGATATGTTATGAGACAGGGTTTCAAGTTTAGAAACTGTTGAATAATATTAATTGCCCTGTTTTGTCAACCTTATTTCTACTTACTCCAAGAAGATTAAGTAAACAAATAAGTTAATTTTAAGAATAAGTGTTACCCAAGTTTAATGTACAATTAAAATACATTCTAATAAGCTCAGGTGAAATCAAGTAAGATTAGATTAGTTTAGTTAAGTTCGGATGAATTCTTATAAGTGAAAATCAGGTGAATAATGCCTCTTGGGCTAATCCTAGTAGTCAGGATCAGTTGATGATGCAGGCCATGGAAGTGGCTAGGAAAAAAGGCTGGGCTGATTCACAGTCCAATCCTGGGCCTGAACACATTGGCCTAATGCTTTGCTCAAAAAGTAGGGCTTAATCTGATTGGGCTGTAAGTGTAGTTGATTTGTGCCAAGCTAATCCTTGAAAACTTGGGCCCACGACCCACTTGCTATCAGGATCAGTCTGATCCAGGCCTTTGTCAGGCTGGGCTAGACGGCCAGGCTTGGCTTGTGGCAACAGCTTGCTCCCATGATTTCAATAACAAGGAGAGATGACTCAGATGAGTATACAAGGAATGTTCTAAATACTTGAAGGAAAGCTGGAAAACCAGCATGGTTGCTTGTCAGATTGCAGTACATTAGATGCTAGATTCCATCATGAGAGATTCAATTGTATTAACATTCCTATTAAGGTGCAACCTAACCTCTGTTACTAAGATTGGACTAATGTTAGGCACGAGAATATGGCTAGGTGTCAGACTCTGTTATTTTATGAAAAATTTGCAAAGTCTTGGTATAAAAAGTATACCAAATCCCTGTATTGGTGTCATAATGCTGAGTACCTGATACAAATACGAGTTAAAATCGGATTGACATACTGTTATACGTGTATTATCATTCTTTCGTGCTCCTTTTTTAATGATTGTTTTTTTTTTTTTCCGAAGTGTGAATGCAGGTTGAATAGATAAGAGAAGACCAATGAGAAGACATAAGATCATGCTCTGGACAGACCAGGTTAGAAGAGAGTTATCAATTGTGATATTGGTGGTAATCTTGAATCATATAATTGAGTCATGGACCACTGACAATACAATCTCTTTCCTTTTTATTAAAGTTTAAATCTTTAACGTTCACCAAACACATCAGTATCTGTATTTGGCTTTAATATCAATCTTTACGTAAGTGGCTGCGTCATTCGAGACTACATGTTCTTCTAGTGTGACAGATTAAACCTTTGTCAAAAATTTCAGCACCATTCTTCTGTTGTCTTGTGAACCTACAGTTACTTAAGAATATTAGGATCGTTAATTATGCTAAACAACTGAATTGGAGTGCAAAAGTGTTTACTTTACATATTGGATTGTGGACCACATTGGGCCCGATTGAATGGACCGGGTTGTGACCGGTTGAACTCTGTCTGGACCAGTTTAGACCTATGATGTATGGGGGTGCTGAGAATAGTTGGAAGTCTGTTTCAGTTAACACTCCTAACGTGTTCGTTTTATTCTGTTAGCCATGCTTTGGTTCATGCTTTCTCGTGGCCAGGTTTGGACCGCATTGCTCGCATTTTGAGCGATATACATTACTTCTCTTGGCTCATGATCCATGTAAGGTTTGAACCTAACCGATGTTGGCAATGTGAACAAAATTAAATGTACACGACCTTGTGTTATCCAGCTTATCCTAATCAACCCAAGACATAGAGATAAGGTGTCGCCAAGAAGAAAAAACCCGAACAACAGAAGTCGACATGATTAATAAATTTGAATAAGAAAAGAATATGAAGGGAATCTTGTGAATGATCTCACGGGTCAATTTTTATGGCTTGGTTAAGCTCATGAAGAAGGTGACTGGTTATGATTAATTATGAGTTTGTTTTTATTCTTCTCTGATTTTGTCTGATTGCATTAAGCGCGTAGTTGGAATAAATTCTAGACCACAGATGATTTTCACTGTAACATATCTGCTGCGCATGTGTTTAAGGTCATTTTATGGCTATGTGATAGAGAAATGCACCACATATATTGTTTTCTGGATATTGCGTTGGATCTCTTCTATCCCTGCAAATTCTTCTTAGATGCTGCTCTTTTCGTCTTCTCGATTAAGGAATCCTTTACCCAACTATGTGTCCTATTACATCCGAGTGTACCATGTTATCTTCATTTACCATTCGCACTACGTATGATGATGTAGATTGTAACTTGTAAGTTCTCATAATATTTAGGAAGAAATGGGACACAAGATGAGACATGAAACGAAACATATTCATGTTAGTCATTGTATGTTACCTTCTCGATCTGGAACCCCACCCCCCTTGAAAATGAAGCTGTCCTTACTGATATGCAGAAAGAAATTAGTTGTAGGTCAGTTTGAAGTTGTTACAGATTGTACAAGTAATTATGCAGTGATTTTAGCTATCAAAATGACAGGTTAA